ATTTAGGAACAATATTTTTATTTATTTATAATACTATTTAAAAAAAAGACAAAAAAAGGTTTTTGATTATTAGATGATTAATTAAAGTGAATAAATAATGATAGGATTAAAGTAAGAAAAAATATTTATCTATATTGAAGAATAAAAAAATAATAATTAATTTAAAATAAATTTTAAAAAATATAATATTTTGAAATAGAAGAAGTAATAATTTATATTTATTAGCTATAAAATAAAATCCATTAATGAACTGATATTTTTAAATACTATTTTTAAAAAATCAAAATTTTGATTGACTTAACAATATTAATGATAATAATAACCATATCTATAAACACAAAAATTTGTACCCACGAGCGAGTGAATGGATTAATAGGGGACTCTTCCAGTTTAACTAGAGGTTTTGGTTTCAAATCTTGAGAATATAATTCTCTTAAAACTTGTGAATGAGAGTTTTACTACCCGTTGGGTCCTGTCCAACTCGAATCTGAATCGGTCAGTAACCCAATGAGTTTTCGGATACCAAATAGTCCAAATAAAAAAAATTAAAATAAACACAAAAATTTGTAAGACCAAACAAATATATTATAAATATATTTGATTTGATTATCAAAAAATAATTATTGTTGTTATAGAGCAATTTACATTTATTGCTTAAGAGTTGAAAATAAGCCAAACGTTGAAATCTGGTGAAGAACTGAAGTTTATCAATTTAATTCACTTTGCAACACTATTCCGTGAGCCAAGCCTAACTTAAGAGGACTAGCTAACTCAATAAATAGATGACTCAACCATTTAGGTCAGATTTGCTGTTTTAGCTTTTGTCCCAATGTCTCCCCAATTCCAAGATATTGTTTTGCTCCCTCAACAAGGCAGAACCCTCAAATCGCCCCCTGACAAATATGGGTAGGGACGGATCCACCCCTCAAAAAAAAGCAGGGACAAATGACACCCCAAAAGTATTGATCTTCCCAAATCGATCATTATCTAATGGGTGACGTCATCACCGTCACGATCTCCGTTTAGCCCGTGCCAGCGTGTCGTTTTTTTACACGCTGGATGCTGATGTGTACCAATTCCGCTCTTTTTCACACACCGTGTCATTTGCGATTTTTGATGACCAACTTGTTTGCCCTAGTTCAGAGTTTTCAAAGTTGAGGGTTAGGGTTCTCTTCAATTCAAAACCACAAAACCACAAGGCTTTCTCTCATTTCTGCAATTCCTTTCTGAAATTAGTCGAGGGGAAAAGATTGTGGGTGTTTGTGAGTTTATTCGCATGGAATCTTCCTCTAATTCTGGAGCTGGACCTGGTCGAGCCTCTGCTGGTGCAAGTGATGGTGCAATGGCGAGAACAGTTGTGAGGGATGTTGGGTTGGTTGAGCACAACTATGAAATTCATTACCACCTAATATATAATGGGATGCCTCCAAGACCGGCAGAGTTAAGAGCAAGGCGTGCTCTGCACTTCGGGAGTAAAACACAGAGAGAGAAAGAGAGAGGGAAAGGCGCTCAGCTCTCTTCTTAGTTGTTATTTGCGATTTAGTCATAGGAGATTGGTTCCTTTCTGGGTATTCTGGCATTTGGTTTCGTTTGAATTAGAGGAGGAAAGTTGTTTAAGAGAGGAAAGGAAGGAAGGAAGGAAAGAAGGAAGGAAAGAAGGAAGGAAGAAGAACCAGCGGCGAAAACAGAGATGGAGTTGTGCAATTCTTATGATGAATATGAGAAGCTCGTTATAAAGATGAGCACTCCTATGTTTGTTCTCCCTTCTCCCTCAAATCCTTTTTGCGATTTTCAGTACTGCTCTTTCAACCAAACATGTATCAGTTTGTTTTTGTTCTTCATGTGTTGTTACCTTGTTGATTTTGTTCATTATTTCCAGTTTTTCTGGGTTTGTGTTTTCCCCTTGATCCTTCTTCCTTGTGGTTTGTTTTAATTTTTTAAGGTTTTTGTCTGTAATTTTGGGATTTTAATGTAAGCAAACGTGTTGTTTAATTCTTTCAATGTTGGGATCATAGCAGTTAAATTCATCGATTTCTCCATGATCTCTTCCCTTTTTGTATTTTTTAAGGAATTTTTGAATTTAAGCACTGAGAGAAAGAATCAGATCTCCTCATATTAACTACTGTAATAGATTTTTTCTGTCCATTAAATCAACTTTTTTTGTTTATCTTAAGCATTTTAGTTAACTGGAACGAATTCGATTTGAATTTTCTAGGATAATCGCCGACATTAAATTAAATATACTGAATATCCGTTTTTTAAAAATATTTTTTTGACCTTTCTTAAATTTCCTTCATATATTTTTTTTAAATTTTGATTTTCCGTAACTTTTGAACGATTTCTTCCCCATTTTAGGTGCGTTTGAATTGTACTAGATTTTAGAAATTTCTCCATTGCCTATTTTCAAAAAAAAAAAAAAGTTTAGAAATTTCTCTTGAATTGACTCTTTACTGCTACATTTTCCTGCAGAGTCGCGATCGAGAATGGCGTTTGCGCCACTGCAACAATTGTCAAGGTTAGCTTCCACTGCAACAACTGAGTGTGCGAGG